TTCGCCCCTTGCCGTTTTGGAGAGGCGCGCGGGGCATCCCCCCGCCCAGGGCTGCTCTGTGCAGAACCGCTGACGCCAGCTCTCTGGAGGTGGATGCTGAGGGTTATGTAAATTAATAAAGGAGTTTATGTAATTTTCAGTTCAGTGAGCTGCAGCATTTGTCAAGTTAATTTGTTGTCCGGTTTTGACCCTGTGGTTCCACCTCCGCTCTGTCTCCTTACAAATGAGGGCAGGCTTCCCACAAAAAGAAAAAACACAGAGCTCCTGCTGAGCGGGAGCGACAAGCTCACCGGACACAGCTACGACACTTTCATCAGCATCTCTGTTACCGAAGAACCTGACAGCGTTCCTAAGTGAATTCCAAAAACTAAAAATAACCCAGAAAAGTTTCCATCCAGAGAGCTTTAAGTGAGCAAAGACCTCTGTCTTTCTCCCAGAACAGTTAATTTATTACATCCACATTCACCCCCATAGCAAAACAGAGAGCAGCCTGGGATTCAGCGTGCCGTACGCTACCAGCTTCGCTTCCTTCCTAAGGTAAACCAGGAGAATTTTTTTCTTGTCCTGCTTCTCCTCCACATTAATTTTCTTAACAACGCAATAAAAATCACTCCTGCCAATTATAAGAAGGAGCATTTCTAGATTTGCTTTTCTGCTAGAGTTGGCAACCACCTACTTTGCCTAACCTTAACGCTGGCCCTGCACGTACCTAATGAAACGGTAACACCTATTCCAGTTATCCCTTCCCAGCACCACGGGGATCTCTTCTCCCACTGCAGCTCATGGGAGTTACCCGGGAACTCCCATTATTAACCATATTACAATCATCATGTGCAAGTTCCTGTGTGTCAGTACAAACCTTTTGCTTAACTTCAGGCCGAACTCATTTCCCGTGTGAAAACCTGGAGTTAAGAAAATGCCATGCAGGGGTGACACATTTCTGTCTGTGCTGCCAAAAAGCCTTTTTACATAACCTGTCCCTATCCCACCAGTCTCCGACTCTCAAAGGCCTGTAGATATAAGCAATTTAAGTTCAGTAAAAATTATTCAGACTGAGCACGGAATGAACTTGCTCAGAATACTATAAATCAAGAGCTGCTAATAATAACAAAAAAAAATAATTGTGAAATAATGATAAACTGTGTAAGATCTCAAAGACAAAGCTGGCCGATTTGGCTCGGTCGACTTTCACAATGACAAATGTATCTGATGCAAAATGAACACAGTTATTAGTCCAGAGACTGACGATGACTCTTCCACTGGCAGTTACTGGAAACTGCCGTAAAACTTCAGAAAAATCCACTCTGCAGGCTGCAGAGGTTGTGAAGCCCTACCTACCTCGTCTGCAAAACCTACCAAAAGAATGTCGATTAGAGAAAGATCGGGGTAAAAGACCACGGAAAGTATTGGGTTCATTTTCAAAACACAAATTTTGCAGTGTATTTTGTAAAATTGAAATCTTACTAAGTAGGAGACCATCACACTGCCGCATTCAATAAATCTTTACTGTGCTGTAGCGAAAGACCGCTTTATAAAGCGGCTGGATCTGAAGCCGTGCAGACGAGCGGGTACCCCACGCAGCCCTCCTGCAAAGGCAGCCCTCCCCAACAGCCCTCTCTATTTTCCGCGTAGGCAGATACGCTGTTCCTCCCATGTGAGAGAGAAAAGCTTGGTGATGTGAATTTACTGTCTCAGGACACCAGCTTAACTTGGACATCATTCAGCACTTACTCTGGGAGATACAGACCTGAAACAGGGATTTCACTAAAGAGCAAAACCTCCACCTTCGCTTTGATTCTCCAGCGCTGAGCCAGCTGTGCTCCCAGAAGTTAAGCTTTGTGGTTGGCGTTTTTTTTCCATTCAAGTTTTACTTATTTGGCTTTCATGATTCAAATACTACTGAAAGATCAGAGCGCTGAATACGTGCTGTTCTTGACTGACGCTGTAGTCCCCACGGGCCCTGACTGTGCTAGAGCCAGTGCAAGTAACGCGAGGCACCAGGGAACTCATGACCAGCACCAGGACCAATTCACTGATGCAGAGATAAGTCATGGAACATCTTTGTGCACTGATAAACCTTCTTTTTTTTTTTTTTTTTTTCCTTTTGCTGTCGGGCCACTGCATTGCTAGAACACAGCATATTTACATTACAACCGCTCCATAGGATATTTTCAATAAAGTCTCATCTGTGCTTTGCATGCATGAGTAAGAGCTCCTGGGTGTGTCCAAGACCTCAGAGCTTACAGCATTAGCTGTAGGCATCGCAAGTCATTTGGTTCCTAAAACATTCTGTACTTAAAAACAGCCTACACCAGAGCCCCCTCCCAGCCCGCCGCTGCTGCTACGGGCACGTAGCACGTACACGCACCAAGTAACTGCTGGCTGCCCAGAACATTTTCTAAAGGTAAAGACGACTGCCCAGCACTTATTCCTGAGTGGGAAAGGATGGAAAATAGTTTCTTTGGTTTGCAGAAGTAACATCTGTAAAGGCAAGAGTGCCACAGAAACTGGCAGGCCCGCGAGGCGCGGATGTGAAAGCGTTACGCCATTTGTTATACGCATCCTATGCCAACCGCGCATTCCTAACCACACGGTTATTTTACAGACTCCCAGCTCCCAGTTACAGACAGCAAACGCAAACTAAAGAATCTCTCTTTTTGGTGAAAAAGGTGTCTTTGGAGATGGACTGCAGATTTCCCCGTTTGTTTTGACCAAAGGAGCTCAGGAATCTGCTTCCGACGCCGATTCGCACACAGCGGGAAGTGACTCTGCTCAGTCCAGTAGTTCTGGGGTCCAGCACAAGCAAGAGATCTCTCCACGTCAGGTTGGTGCAGAATTTGTTTTTCCTCCCAGCGTGACAGTGTGAGGTTACCTGAGGCTCCCTAAGAGCTAGGAAGATGAAAGCTCGGCTTCCTTTACGTTGGGGAAGAGCAGGAAATGTAAAGGAGTGACTCTCCCCAAGGAATGTTAATCCTGTCATTGCAGTTTAAGGTGACATGGGAGTTTAAATGCTCAATTCCCACTTTGTCTTTTGCAAAGAAGTTTTTCTTCATAAACGCAGGGGAAAAAAGAGGGTACAGATTACAGAGACAGAGCGAAGGAGCCCAAAACGATCAATTATAACTACTCGGGATTCAGCCCCACGTTACACTTGATCAAATCTCACCACGTACTGCTGCCCACAGAACACAGCTGCTCTTTTGCACATCTCTGGTCAGGTTTGAGCCAGACATTTCCATGGAATCAAATCTGTTTTCCCTGGTAGGGTGGTTTTCCATCGGATCAACCCGTAATTCGCTCACCCCACAGCTGCACAAGCCGTACGAAGAGGGGACAGAGCTGACCACAGCAGGACGGGCTGTGGTGGCAACAGCCCACAGTGAGGTCAGCTGAAGCACATCCTGGAGCGCTGCCCTCGGTCTGGTCAGACATTTCTCCCAGAAGTTGCCATGGGGGTGTAGTTACGAATAACGTCGTAAGCGCAGCGGCCGTTCGCAATACCAGAGACAGGCTGCGTCTTCCGCCGGTTTGGTTTTCGGGGCAGAAACAAACCAAGGCCTAGGGAGCGGTTATACTGCCCTGGGAACAGCGGGCCACGTATGTAAGGTTTTTTTAGTTCTCTTTGCCCAGGCTCTTCTGAACATGTTAGTGCTTTAAGTACCTAAATAAATGTTCCTAATTAGGATGCAGCACAAACGACATCAAATTATAAGCCTAAAACTGTATCAAACATTTGGATGTATCACTTCTGAGCAAAAGGAACAATCTGCAAAGTTGACCTTAAACAAATCACTAATTGTTTTGTTCAGACATGTGAAACGCGTTGCAGCGGGGTAGGAAAGGGGTAACGCTCTCTGGAATAGCTGCGCATAAAGCCCATTGTCCAAGACAGAAGCAAACTATTTGCAAAGAGAACACATGCAAAGTCAAAAGAATAAGATATTACATGTTCAGTAATCTTTGTAGGCACGTTTTGCTGTTATAAGGTTTTACTTTGTTTGGGGGAATACCGTACAACCTAGTTGGTGTATGTTCATTAAAATCCATACCAGGTGCAATTCTCATTTAGGGGAACCAAATCCTTATTTAAAACACGGAAACGAAGGACAGCAGGATTGCAGGAGAACGGTGGTGGTCTGGAGTTTACTGTTATTTTAAATTCCAGTCTGAAATCTAACAGGTAGTTGTAAAAGTCTCTGAGCATGTGGCAGTTGCTTAAACTTACTCATGGAAGTAGTCACATTACGCTACAAAGCTGTTTTGTTACACATTCCTCTATATTGCCCTGGGAAATACCTCAATTACCCAGTGCCCATGCAAACATTTAATAAGTTAACTTTTGCATGGTAGACACTGATATTTTTCTTAATTACAGGTCAAAGATCATTTACTCATTTCCCCTCCCATCTCCTTAACCTCCTCAAGTTTCCTGGATTTCATAAAAACATTTCCCTTCCCAGCATGTTTTAGTTACAAGCTTGAAGTTTTCCATTTCCCTACCTGTATCGTAGTGTTCCCCCCTTCCAGAAGGGCAATGGCTAGCAGGATGCTCTCATGGAAGACTCTGTCACTGGTGGCATTCATGATGAGATCTATGACCAGGTTGGATGCACCTTCTTTATCCAGATGACACTGGACATCTGCCAAACTCATCTCACCTCGGCTCATTGAACTCGATCCGGAGCTTCCTCCTATAAAGGTGATCATGAGAAACAGGCTGAGATTCAAACCCCACCACTCTACGGTGACGGCACCTCTCTTCTCGTTTAAATTATTAACCTCTCCTGAACGACGCGCATACGTTTAATAACAGTGACGAACTCAGCTCCTAGCATTTCTGCAGGGAAGAGTTTGTACCCTAATTAAAGCACATCTGGGGCACGTTGTAAGACGGGCGCTTGACGCTGCTTTACGGAGGTGGTGTCCTGGGGGGACAGCCTGGGCTGGCAACGGGCAACGGTTACTGCCACCGCTCTCCTCGTTAGCAGCGGAAGAGGGAAAGAAGGCTGGTGTGTTGGAAGAGGATTCTGGAAACAGCATGGATTCAGGGATACAAAGAGAGGAAGAGGCTTCGCAGAACCAGGAGGGGATGGAGAAAAGGCGAGACAAATTCCAGAGGAATTGGCAAAGCCAATGCTCTAGAACGTGGAAGAGTATGGCAGTAGGCAGCACAACACCAGGACAAACGAACTATGTGTCAACTTCAGAAAATAGGGGGAAATAGGTCTTCTGGGTTTTAGGGTTTTTTTTGTTTCTGATCAGGCCTGCTTTCAGCAGGATTACTCACTGTCTTTAATCTGAAGAGGCAAAACCCACTGAACTGTGTTTTGACAAAACGTGCTTGACATTACTGACTTTTTTAGCAATGGTCTCAAATTCAATAAACTGCACTTTATAACTGACTTCAAAACAAATTTTTCCTCATCCTACCCCACAATCTCTCTGTAATACAATGAAATGTTTTTCTTTCAGGTGGAGTTAATAATCTGACATGCTTATGCTTCCCAAATATTATTGCAAAAATATAAATTGATCAGGTTTTCTAAGTACATTCATTACAAAGCAAAGTCACAAAATTCAAGCCAACCCAAGACAGTCTCTGGAAAGTATAGAAAGCTCTCTGCCTGCTTAACTTTAAAGTACTTCCTCAACTGCAGTCAGGAGAAGAAGAACACTGCTCTCATCTGCACGAGGAAAAAGCAGCTGACGCCATTAGAGACAGGAGAGCGATGCTCCGCTCAGCCTGAAGTGGAATCCCTCAAGGAGAGTTAAAACACGTTGGACTTTCCAAAACCAGTAGTGACATGCAAGCAGGACTTCTTCCCCATCCATGTGAATAGTTTCTTCTTTCTTGGGGGATTTCATAGAACAGTAGGGGAAAAGTCCAAACGGGGGAAAAACCCCTGTTTCACCTGATTTGTCAGGCAGACACAGACCCACAGCATCTGGCAGGGCAGAGCACACGAACCGCTGATGAGCAGGAGCACGTCCTACCTCCTGCCCCGGCTTTGCTGGCGCCTCCGGCAGACAAGGGTCCATTGCGGAGGGTGGTGAGGCTCTCGCGCCGTCCCGCCGGTCTCACATTGCCATAGTAACGGTTGACCAAAACTTGTCTGAGCGCCTCACCCTTGAGTCAAAGAGGATAATGAAATCATGATGTGAGCTTAGTGAATAAACAAACTACTAATATTCAGTAGCAAGGGGACTGCTGTTACCATTAGCTTACTCGTAGTGAGGGAGGGGGAACCAAAATCCTGGAGATTTGGAAAAATTCCCTGAGCATCTCCCAATGTGCTAGGGCAGGCTGGGCACTGGGGGTGTGTCTCATGGGACTCAAATGAAATAATGGGTTCCCAGCACCAGAAACACCTACGGTTTGGTTTCTGTGTAAAGCCTTCTAGACAGATTTTATGCTTAGACGGGTTTGGGTTTTTTTTTAATTAGTTTCTCAGTCTAAAATGTAAAAAAGTTGCATCTGTACAGCACCAACACAAAATGAAGAGGAGGATTAGAGGAAGAGTAACATCAGAAATGGTTTTGTGAGGAAGCAATCCCATCTCCTCAAACCTATCCTGTTTTGCTATTTCACCCCTGTTACAGGGACGCACTCTTTTCTCCTCTCCATCAGCAGCTGACGCGATCTAACGCTGTCAGCCGCCGAGCGGAAACCCGAGCGATCCCCGCTGCATCCCTTTTTTTGCTGGCAGCTGCCCGAGCCGCCCGGTCACGCCGGCAGTCAGCATCCGAGCACATGAGCCCACAGACACCGCGGGGCACCGGTCCTCAGATAACCCCGACGTCCCGTCGAGCACCCGGCACGTCCCCGCAGAGCACGCGCCGCTGCCGTCAGCGGAGGAGACCAAAACACCTCCCAGGCTGAACGTTCACCTGCAGACCCCGCACCGCTCTCGCACTCCTCAAGTCTTTACAGGAATCCCCAGTAAATCAGAAGCTGTACAGAAGCCGGCGGTACTGCCAGCAACGGGCAGGTACGCAAACACCGCGGCTGGATTAACAGATTTTTATAAGGTCTTTGTCCAGAAAGGAAAACTGGTGATTGTTTTAACCGGGAGCTACTGCTCTGCTAATGGCAGCATGCTGTGGTTACAGCAGTATCGCCCTGAGACAGGAAGGGGGTTTTCTGGGGATTCCAAAAAAAATTGATCCAGCCAAGAATAATTTCTCACTGAAAATCCGTTAGGATGAACTAAAGTATCTTGATCTCCATTCACAAAACAAGTGCTTGACACTGATTTTCAGTTGTGTTTCAAATCAGTTGTCTGACTGTAGATTCAAAATGTCATTAACTACAAGGTTTAATATTAGCTGTCACGCAAGTGAAGCCTTGCTTTTTAAACTTTCACAAGAGGCCTTTGAAACACAAAGTGAATGGAACAACGCAAACGTGCATCAGTTGGCTCATACAAAACTCCAGCACTGCCGCCAGCCACACCGCTTTTGATCCAACGCTGGCACCCACAGAAGGTACCTTAGAGAAATCCTTACATCCCAGCGCACCGGAAAGATAAAAACCTGTCTGGAATTTAACAGACCTTTACCAAATTTCAGATGCCACTGTCCAAACGGGGAAGCTCAACACCTGCCCGCAGCTGGTCCCCGCAAGGCTGGTGCTAATGCCAGGGCTCCCGCCACCGCCTGCTGCTTCTCCCTACCGTTGAGCAGGTTCAAAACTGTTCCCATAGTTATTAGTGTGCAAGCTGCAGCACAGGAGCTGCATTTTATGGAATCAGATGGGGATGGGGGAGGCGGCAGGGAGACAAGATGTAAAATAAACATGAAGAGAGCTTTCCAACCAGCTGCTTCCAAAAGTCCTCAAAAAAAAAAAAAAAAAGAAGAAGAAGAAAAAAGGCAAGTTACTTGGGAAGCAACAGTAGAAGATGAGCACTTTTCCAAGGGGCATACGCTTCCTATCACCCCTTGGGCCAAATAGCGAACACGGAGAGAGGCAAGAGACTCAGTTCAAAAGCTCAAGCAAGTTCTTATCCCAAAGGAGCTACTTTGACAGCAACATGAGAGTGTTTAGTACAGGAGGAGGTGCTTTAACCATCCTTCTGCTCTCAGTCTGGCAGGTAAGAAAGTCTACATGACAGAACAAGGCCAAGGCAGACAAAAAACCCCTTAACTACACCTTCCTTCTACATGTGTACTGATTAGAAAGGCAACTTGATACCCACAGAAGCCCTATGCCAAAAATCAAGTTACAATGGAGTTCTCACATCACCTTTTCCCTCTTCTGTTTAACTGTCAGTCGTCGTATGAACTGGCATTTAAACCCGGCAATTTTCACTACTTACTACAAAGATAACACCACACATCCAACCACAAGGACTGCTGTTCTGTAACCACCACCTCCTCCTGAATCCAGATGGGTAACAAGCTCCCGGGGTTCTCCCTACCCTTTCTTTCTGGTCCACTGTGGAGCAGAAGACAACTTCTGGGGTGAGTGGAGAAACCTCACCGGGAGCTCCAGCTCCGAGGACAAACCTGCAGCACCTCCACTGTCTACACGAGTGTAGCCAAAACAGGACAAGTAACCAGAACGTACAAGTGGGAACACGTATCGAGCATTTGTTGTTTCTAGTCCATGATTTTGGAGGTTTGGCAATCTGCGTTCAGTAGCATTTTGAATTCTAACTGGGAAGAAAAACTTTGTTTCCTACAAAATTATTCAAACCCACTGTGTCAGCTAACAAGTATATGAGTATGTGATCAAAGTAGAGGGGAGAAAAAATAAGTGGTATTTAAGAAATGTTATAATTAATTCAGCTGCAACGCTTGGCTCCAGAACACTTCTTTAACCATCATGTTACTGTTGTACACCACTTTGATGCGTACAGTATGCAAACAAATATCAGATGTTTGGCGGCAGTAAGAAAAATCAAATATGCTACCTAGAAACCCCCCCAACAGCATTCAGTTTCATCTGCATCCACCATCAAGGTAAACTAACGGCAAGTAGGACACGAACATTCCTGTACGTGTATCAGTGAAGCAGATGCAATACACAACTCAGCCTAAGTGATATCAAAAACCTGTTACAATCTTAAAACAGAGAATCTTTAATAATATTTAAGAGTGAAGCAGTTCTAAATTGCTACTATTTTGTTCCCAGCTACAAGAGCAGAAGAAATCAAGAAATGCAGTAACGACGTTGATTTTGCAGCTTGGCTGTTTACGAAGGGGGAGACGTGGCCAAAGCAGGCAAACTCCACAGCACTGATTATTCTCGCTCCGTAATTGTGTGATCATCACCAAAGGGGAATGCTTTGACAGTGTGAACAGACAGATCAGGACCTGAGGTTTAATTCAGAGCAGCCATGCACTCGCTCCTTCCATTGAATACAGGAGAAGGTGCTCCAGCACCCCGTTTGTAAGCATGGCTGATCGTTTTAGGGATTCCAAGAGACGGACAGCAAGCAGTTAACCACAGAAGTTTCTTACATGACTTATACTTCACTGTTTAAAAGGAAAAGGTAGAGGATTAGTTCTGAACGTGCTTGACTGCTGTACATACCCTTCTATGATCCTCCAGTTGCCTCTGTGGTAGACTTTGATCAAGCTCCTGCTGTGCATGCAGAAATTTCATTTTAAAGCAGAACAACACTAAAGAGACACTAAATCTTTGCACTCATGGAAAATACTAAGGGAAGTCACAGCTGAAAGCAAGGGGGGAGATGAGGAAGACTGACTGACAAGTTACCTAAGCAGAGCATCTGCCCTCAATTAGCTCTGGCAGTACTTAACCAGTCTGCTCAGCCACCCTCCAGCAGACCACGACGGCATGCACGTATGCCAACACATTCTCATGGATTTAAAGAAACGTCTGTCTAATTTTACAGTTACCGGTAACAGACAGAAGTTTTTAAGAGCTGAAACCGTGCATGCCCATGCATACATATACACAGATACACACACACACAAACACCCCGTTCCCACTATACGCACACTTCTGGAGGAAGTGTAGGTACTTCAACATATCTGACCGTGGCCAATGAAGCTCTTTTGAGACTTGCGGAGGGCCTCTGACAAAACCCGTGGGATTTCTGTTCCAATGCCACGGACTTCAGGGAGGTCTCACTGAACCAAGTCCCTTGGCACGTGCATGTTTCCAAATCAAATCTCTCTCATTTTAATTTTCAGGAATGGAACATCCACTTTGTAAACATGAAGCATGTTGAGTTTTTGCTGCTTTAAAGCATTCTGAAAATGTGTAGGAACAACCATTCTATACAGGGACCCATCTTAAACCAGGAGCCATCTCCCAAGCATCTCAAAGTCATTCTATGACCACTCAGAGTTTTGGTTTACATTCAAGCACTATTCCACAAAAATTACAAATACAAAGATCTAAACCACCACAAACATTTTTTTCTTCATGATTTCAAACCATATTCATAATTTATATAGCTCAAAGAATCAACACTGTCCTAGATCTAGACTTTCATGTTGTTTCACTTGGATTTGCACTGATACAGCACCCAGTTGTACAATCTACCAATGTCATCTCTGGATGTCCCATTAATTTCAAAAGAATTTGAGATTTCACGAATTCTTATGTCTTCATTTTGGCAAATTATCTGTTTTACTCAAACTGATACTGGAGTATCTCAAAGGAAACGTGCCTACATATCCAATTCACTATAGCCCTAGTAACCTTGAAGACGTGAAGTGACCATTAGCTGTTTCACTGTGGCATTTGAAATGGGACACCCAGCTGCTCTGGGATTAGGAAGCTTCCACTAACAACTTTGGACACCTCCCTTTCCTTATCAAAGTTTTTAAATATGTGAGATAAAGGGAAACCCAAGTTTTGTACTGGGAGCCAGAGAAACATCTTGCTTTGCTAATGCAGGGGGATTTGAGGAGATTTTTTCACAGTGCCTCTCTTAAAAGCATAAGGGAAATGGTCGAAAGGAACAAAGATTTGGGACTGGTTTACAAGCGGGGTTTTTTGTATTTTCACACTATCATGCTGATGCTGTATTGGATTAAACTGCTTCAACAAATCTACTTATTTTTCACTAACACCACGCAGGAACACACATTTCACAGGTTTGTTTGGTTTTTTTTACCAACAAGACACTTCACCAGGACTACTTCAAAACACCGATATTTGCCTGTTGTACAAATATAGGTGAGTGACACACCTCTACAGAGCTTTCCGTTTCTGGAGGTTGCGGCAGCTAGTTGAAAGTAAAATGCAGAAAAATTAGTCATTCTCCAAGAATCTTTCATCCCAACAGAAATCTAGTGGTCAACACTTAGGGGAAGGGAGCTAGCAAAGCCCTTGACTTCATCTCAAATGAATTCTAGCCATAATTACTGTTTACACCCCCCCCAACCCCCCACCCCCTGAAAGGGCGACATTTTGAACATTTAGCAGGTACCCTTTGAACATCCCAAACTGCTTTGCACGAGCACAGAAGCACAAGCAGAAAGCTTTCGCTGCAGGCAGAGGCACTTTTGGGCAGCCTGCTGGGACCACACACCCGGGACCCGCAACTCGCGGAGGGTGAAGGCAGTGCACCCATCCCCACCGAGGAGGAAGCCAGGGCTGCCATGTCACAGAAAGGCAGCACCCTCACAATAGCAGTTTTAAAAAAAAAAGCTCTCAGTGGATTCTCATCTATAAACATACTTTTCCTGAGATAAAAGATGTGTGATACAGTACCAAACACGAGCAATGAAATAAGAGGCTCAACGGTGACAGCTTTTCAAATTTAAAATGCTGATCATCACATTGAAACAGATGAAGACGAGCAACTTTTATCTAGTAGAGCTTAGACATACAACAGAGACCTAAACATTCAAATGGAACTGCCTACTTAATCGTGGCTAAATTGATTTAACTTCTCGGGAACAGACACTAAGAAATAAGACAAGGACGATACAGTAATACCAAATTAAGTCAGCCACTCATTGTCCGTGTCTGCCTAGAGGGCACACGAACTAGACAGACAAATCAAGCATCGGCTGGGAGAGCGACCGAGGTACTTTAACCCGCTATCTGCTGCAGCCTAGGAGATGCACAGCAAAGGCAGACGAAGGCCATGAGATCCAGAATGCTAAATATGGAGAGACTCCGCTTCCCAGGAAGGAGCCAGAGGAGCGAGCGCTTCCCCTGCAGCGTTCCGTGGGCAGGGGCTCCTTGGCCAGGAAGAACCGTTCTCCGTTCTTCTCCTAATGGACTTTCCTCCTGGCTAATTCACACGGCCTTTGGTACACCGTTTCCTTGCATTGTCACCACTCTTGGAAACTGCACAAGCATGCAAACCATTTCTCTCTCGGTCAAATTGAAGCAGGGAGTATTTAAGCCAAAGGCCCAAAAGTTAACAGGAAGAACCTCATTTATGCAGAGGAACACACAGTTCCTGCACAGCCCGCTTTGAACACCCTTGCTGCTCGTAGGCTGGACACTGGAAACGCCGTATCAGGTCATTAGGGAGTCTGGGTACATTGTTCTGATTGCAGACACCGTCTGCACAACTTGCTTCAGAGCACAGCAAAAAAACGTCTCCTTTCGCAAGTAGTCAACAGCAGCGAGGAAATTGTGCATATTCCCCTGTAAGGGAAGTTAGGTGCCTCCCTTCCAGGGAAGGGGAGACTGAAGCTGGCAGGTCAAGTGGACACGACTGCCACAAGATAACGTACTGGACTCTGGATGCCAAATGAAAGCTTCCTTATTCCTGGCCTTATAAATGACCCCATTTTAATCCAACATCTATGTACATTTTGGTGCTGAAAACCAGCACAGATGAAGAATCAGCATGAAATTAGTTTGATCTTTCCAACTTAATTGGAGAAGGAAAAAGTACGTATTCTAGCTAGCAAATTCCTGTGCCTTCCCACTGTAGCATGTATAAATAGATCAGCATGTCAGAACCAGCCCCACAAACTCGTCTGCAAGCAAAAGCTATTGCCCTTGGCAGAGATTGGACAGATCATCCCAAATAAGCACGGCCTTCAGCTATATCTCAGTAAGAATATAAACTCCAAATACTGACATTGTTATTCTTTCAGTCAAAATGGGTTAAAATAGCAAAGAATTATTAAGCTATAGTTACTGTGCTACTCTTTGCACTAACCTGTGTGCTGCGACAGCAAAGTACCAGCCTGTGCTTTACCAGGACTGAACAGGGTGGGAGAGCAGACTGAAGCAGTCACGTTGCTGGATTTCTCGTGTCTCCCTATACCTCAGCTCTCCACCTAGAACAAGAGTGATGGTTTGGGGGCAGGGGCACGTTTGTGGAATACAGAGACACTTCGCTAACAGCGGCCAGGTGAGTGCCACGGACACAGTGGCCAGCTTTTAAACTGGAACACAGCGGGTGGCAGGGTCAGAGTACAGCATCTTTACTTTTTGCAAGAAGTAGCAAAAGTTCCTTTCAACTTGCTATGCAAAACCCCCTCTTCCTTTGAAGTTTCCATTCCCGCAAGGCTGGCAAAAAACTACTCATCATTAGCCATAACAGGAGAATTATAATTTCTTTGACCTGTTGGTGACCGTAATGCTTCTAGCATCCATTTCCCCAACACAGAGTACGTGTGTTTCCCAGAATGGTCTTTATCTGACTCAATAGTGGATGTATCCACCTCAAAAACCACCAAAGCAAGTGACAGCTCAAGTGTGAGCTCATTACATCTCAACTTACGAGATATGGAAGAGGTTTCAGTCCTTTTCCTTTATGGTTTTGAGGAAGGTATGAAAGTTTTATTTTCATTTGCTTTCAAAATAACAATAGAGATGAAAGTTGTCTAATCCTGTCTGTCACAGAAAACTCAAACAACTAGCACTGTGGATAAAAAAAACTGGAAATGGTTTGAGGAAATGCAGAAAGATTTTCATTCAGGTTTAAAGCATCAGGATTGCTTTTCTCAACATTTTTTTTTAAATTCAGCTATGTAGTAAACATCCATAATACTGAGCACTGAAAAGGCTTGAAATGCACTTAAAAGGCAGGTGGAGATTCCAGTTCACACTGACTGGGTCTGCTCCGGAGAGCGGCTTCAGCAAAACAGGATGGAAAACATCTCATACTGAAATGTTACAAATGGGTGGGGAATCATCTTATCAGAAAAGCCCGGGGGTCTGTGTGAGCACACACACACGTGAACACTTTGAAAAAACTGATCCGCTTCCCTTCAGCCTCACCAAACTTTGGGATTTTGACAAAATAATGGACAAACCAGCACACTTACAAGCACAAACCTCCTCCACTTCAGGCCATCTCCGAGTTCAAAGGACTGAGCGCTGACAAACCCCAGGCTCCTTAACGTCCACAGGCTGATGCCATTTTCCTTTAGGTTGTTTTCCAATCAGTATCTAAATCGGATGCAAAGGAGACTAGCTGGTGCAAGGCAATAGTAAACTGACACCTCTCCTGGGAGGTCCTTGAGATCAGCACCGAGCGTTCTGAAGAAGCTCGGTCCAACTGAATTGGTTTGGCTCAGCAGGGAAGCGATGGCGAGCAATGAGATGCCCTGCGCTGCGCAGGAAGTCGGGTTAAATTACCGAACGGTCCCTTCTGGTCCCAAAATCTGTGAATTCAGGAACCAACCCAACTCCATGCATATGGCATCTAATTATCGGGGTGGTGGGGGGAAGGATTTGGCATAGAGGAGGAAATAAAAAGGGGAAAAACACAACTACTGAGTCAGTCAGCCAAAGGTCACGTTAAGCTTTTGACAGCTTGGCTGTATATCCAGATGCAAAGAACTACAGTCTCAGATACACGTTATTCCGAAACCATTGCCTCTGCCTCGGCTCTTGCATTACCACCTCCTGCATGCGTCAGCTGGAGTTCCAGTGGGACTGGCTGGGTAGACACAGTCCTGGAAGTCCCTTTCCACTTTTCCTTCCCTTTCCTGGATTTCTCCCCTTTTCTCTGTGAAATGCATTCAGTATAGCTCTTCCTTGAAAGACACGCACCAAAAAGCACCACCTAGTCTAATTTATGACAGACTAGGGCACAAATTGCATTGCTGTCCTTCGTAACTCTTCAATAAAACCAGAAAGCTCCACGTAGGTTACCTGCTTGCCAAGTCTCCTTCGGAAGGCCAATACTGTTACCTTGCAGAACCAAGAAAAGATTTGGATAGGAAATTTCTAGCCTCTGCAGATGATATGTAGGTGTTTGTCAAAAACGCGTTCGACTCGCTATGGATGAGTTTCAGGGCAGAGGGGAATAATTGGGAATCAAGAGCTCGGAATTGCTTTGACAAACTTCCCACGTTACAGTTTACCATTGTGACAGACCTGCATCGAAGTTGCCGAGCAGCGTATTTTTAGTGATGGGGGATCTCACACCTCCATAAATTAGGAGGCAGCGGGAGATGCGGAGCAGCACTTTGTCCTGGCACGGGCTCCTCGGAGCCGTGCAGCTCTCCCAGCCCTCGCAGAAGACACACGGGATTTATGGGGGGCAGAGGCAGCCCCCCAGCTCCCACCGGTGTGTGACGGAGCAGCGACCACATGCTTACACCCCCTCGCCTCGCCGCTGCGGCACCCACTGAGATCAGGGACATGGCTAAAATCCGGATGCGGGAACTGGGTGAAAACCCCCCCCCCCCCCCGTCCCCTTATCTCAGTGAATTTGCAGAGACTTTGTGCACTGCCGGATGATGAGGTGGGAAATCGGTGTAAGGGCTGTCAGTGCCTGCGCTGAAAGGTCACCGAGATCTGCCTTTGCCTTCGCTCATTTTCCAGAGGTTTCAGTTGAGAAAGCGTGTTTTACTTGGGCTGGGGCTTTCCTGGAGTTAGAGACCTCAGTCTCTGATAAGCCACTGACCTTCAGTGGGAGGGCAGTCGCTTGCTTGTCTTTAAACCCTCGATCTTGCAGGTCTTTTACAGTAGCCGAATATAGAAGAAGCTACCTTCACTACACGTTTTACATCAGCAGTTTTAATTAACTAGTAAGATGGTATAACTACTTTTTTTTTTTTTTTGTTACAAATAACTAAGAAATGTTCCAGTCTCCTTTTCCAAAGAACTCACCAATTCCAGTTTGTGCAACAAAAATGGTCCAAAGATTGCAGGATTTCTGAAGGAAAAAAAAATATAAGACAGCCCACAAAAATTTATGAGAGCCTGCATTTCCTCTGCTTGAGACATAACAAGTGAAGCACTGTCTAAGTGCAAAATACACAAGAGAAATGGCTGTGGAATAAGCTTTCTCTACGAGGA